CCTGGGAGCCACCGTGGCCTGCACTCAACCCCGGGGTGAACAGCAGGTCTGGCTGCATCAAGGTGCCCAGAGGGGCTGAGGGGCGGTGGCAACGTCTCTGAAGACAGCGAACTAGCTGCCATCCTGGCTCTGGCCCGACAGACGCTTCTCAACCAGGGCTTTCCCATCCTGCACCTCCCACAGCCATGCCTGGCTCAACATCCCCCCTCCCTCCGCTGGGGTGGGGGTCCCTTGACTCCCAAGGACCTCACTTCCTCCTGGGGAGAAACTTTCCCCAGAGTCTCCTGCTCCTTTCTGCGTGGCCTTTGCTGCAGCAGCAACTGCAGAGGAGGCTGGCTTTCTCGCAGGCTGAGCCCTAACAGAGGCCAGGCAGGTGCTGAAGGACCCTGAACACTCACTCTATTCCTGAAGGGAATAGCTCCGGTAGATTATAGAAACGTACGCCTGACAGGCAGCTGACCTAAGTGTGTGTGCCCTGCAGTGCCTGCGGGAAGGGACTCCACTGAGCGTCTCCGTAGCCGCCAGAGCACACTGCCAGCGGTGCCACTCCCTTTGGCTGGGCTCTGCTCCGACACTGGAGCCTCCAGGAACCCCGTGGCTGGGCAGGAAGCGGGGACCCACCTGATGACCACGATGACACCGTCGAAGATGTTGTAGGGGTTCTGGATGTAGCCCAGCGGGCCGCAGGCCAGCAGCTTCAGCAGCATCTCCAGGGCGAACATGCTGGTGAACACGATGTTGCTGATCTCCAGGGCGTTGGTCAGCTCGTCCGGCTGTGGGCAGCAGCAGGACCATCAGGGGAGGGCCACTGCCCCCATAGACGGGGAGCAGGAAAGGCTGCACCGAGGGGCCAAGGGCCCAGAGGCCACAGCAGGCGTCTTAGGAACCTATTGGCGGCCGTCTGAAGGAGGCAGCTGGGCCCCAGGGGTAGCTTCTCCAGCTGAACCCTGGCCCATCCGGCCTTCCCTCTGTCACTCCCCCTGGTCCTTCCTGACCTCCCCCCCAGAATGTCGGTGCCTTAGGGCTCTGAAGATACCCAGGGAGCAGGGCCTGGAGTACCTGTCCAAGGTTCGGGGTGGGCGTGGGGGTGTAGACAGTAAAAGTAAGGGTGCTTCCGAAAGCTGGCCCAGTCTCTGGAGCCCTCACACACCCTTCCTTGTTGGCAAAAGGCCCAGAGGCCCACCGTACTGAGGGCATTTTATCCTGCCTGTGTGTGCATGGTGTACACCTGTGCTAGTGTAAGTGCTTGCGTGTGTGTGCATGTATCTGCACATGTGTCTGTACCAGTGACCTGCCTATGTGTGAATGCCTGGAAACGTGCTACACGTGTGGTAGATATGCACATGGTTACAGTTCTATACACATGTTCACATCTGTATGGGTAAGCCTTGCATGTGTACATCTGTGGACATGTGTGATTGTGTACCGGTGTATGCACTGTGTGCACGTGTGGCGGAGGCTCCTCCGTGCAGGGGTCCCTCGAAGCCCACTGCTACCGCTGGCCTGGATCTCACCCTCACAACAAGCACCTCCCGCCTGGGCCTGCTTATGGCTGGCACCGCTAGGATTTCCCCTAAATTGCTCCAGGATGAAAGGAAACGGCTTACGTGGCATGAGAGGACCAATGGGCAGGAGATGAGGAAGTCGATTTGGTCGTTACAAGTGAACGGACCTTGGTCCTGAGAGGACACCGTCTCCTGCCAAACCCGCTGCTGCCCTCCCTGGTGTGGCCCTCTCCTGGCCAGTGTGCAGGGTCAACTGGGGGGCTGGGCACCCCACAATTCCTCCTCCTGGGGCCAGTCCACATCCCCACCTATTCTGGTCACCAAGAGGCACCCCATCGGGTGCTGCCGGTGGGCCTGGCTCAGGTAAGGGGGGGCCTCTTTGCAAGAACTGGGCCGGTACCTTCCTGAGAAGAGCCACCAGCTGACCTGTAAACGCCCTCAGTGCCCACTGCCTCTGGGTCTGGGTGGTCTCCACCCCCCCACCCCAGATGAGAGCGACTCCAGGCCGGAGCCACGGTGTCTGTGTGCACCACTCAGCAGAGACCCGGCCCAAGGAGGAGGAGGAGCATTTGCTGAGTAACTGATAAACATCATCTGGCTCCAAGGCCCCATGCCCCAACCTCCACAATCCCAATGTGGGTCCCCAAGAGGCTACAATCGGGAGGCACACAAGGAACATACTCCCCAGGGGTCATGACAACAGTCACGACTCCCAGGGGGCGGGTGTGCCCGCGCCCACCCACCTGCTCGTGGTACTCAATGCCCATGCTCAGGGTGTTGGTGAGGATGGCCATCATGATGCCGCGGTTGAAGTACTTGCTGTCCACGATCCTGCGCAGTTTGCCACTGACGGTAGCCCACACGTGGCTGAGCCCACCAGGCTTGCCAGAGGCCACCCGCTGCTGGGCCCGCCTCCGCACACTGCCCTGGGCGGGTGTGCCGGCCACTGGGGTCGGCTGCATGGGGTCGCGGTGGTCCCCGTGCCGCACATCCTGTGTGAACTCATAGACCGCGTTGCCGTCCGAGTCTCCGCTCTCCGAGTCGCTGAACTCAAACTCGGGGTCTCCCAGGGCACTAGCGCAGTAAGGACAGTCCTTCAGCTCGCAGGTCAGCGTGCCCGCCTGGGGGCTGGGCAGGGGGCAGGGCACACTCAGGCCTGACAGGCGGCTGGAGGCCTGGCCCAGTCCTGAGGGGTGAAGGGTACAGGCAGGGTCAGGGCACTCGGCGGTGACAGCTGGGGTGGGCCCACGCCCACACAGAGGCTGCTGTAGGGTGAACGTGCACACCTGGGCACACTCATACTCAGGAACACACGCTTCCCTGGAACACTCATGTGCACACCTAGGAACACACACACACACCTGGGCACAATCATGCGCACCCTGGACAGGGGTGCTCTGTGCACACACAGGGGCAGGGACACAGAGGGGCGGAGAAGCTCAGCTGTGCTATGGCCACATCATCCAGAAATGTAGCACGAGCTACTTTTTAGCAGCCGTGTGAAAGGTGAGATGAACACATCAGCCATCTTCGCTCCAACGTGGACCAGACGTGAGTGACTGAAGAGAACTGCGCACCCCTTCCTCACTGAGGGCAGTGGGGGATCAGTTGCTGGGACCCAGGTACACTCTGCACCCAAAGCTGTGGCCTGCACTCATTACCGCTCAGGGGCCCACGAGGCCGGGGCCGTCCAATGGGTAGCGCAGGGCTAGAAGCACGTGGGCCGCGGCATGCTGGCTCTCACAGCCCGGGCACATTGACTGAGGGCACACACAATGACCCCACCCACGCCCCTACCTGCCCCAGGTGCACCATGTCTACACACTTGCACACACCACTGGGAGGCCTTATAATCTGTACGGGGCCCGGTGTCTCTCCTTCGACCACCCATCCGAGGTGGGGAGGTGGGTGAAGCAGAGGTGCCAGGTGGGAAAAAACCCTTCGTGGCACTGGAACCTGCATTCCTCCCCATGCCCCTGCCTCAGTCTCCCGACCCAGACGTGGGGCTGGCCACACCTCAGGAGGAGTTGCCAGGTTTTGAACATGGGCAGACGGTACTTCCTGGGGCGAGGTGGGGGCAATACTCTGCCACCTTCAGAATTCTCATCCATGTGGTAAACGCTCATGGTCCACTGAGCCACTGGCTGCTTGGGGCTACCACGGGTGGACAAAGGGGGTGCCCTCTCTCCCCTCCTGGCCATGTCAGGGTGTGAGGTGCCAAAGCCCCTCCCCTCTTCCAGGACACGCGCGTGTGCGCGCGTGCACGTGCACACATACACACACACACACACACACAGGCGAGGGTGAGGTCCTTACCATGTTCCCCAACCAAATGCTGGATCTTCTCATAGGGGTCGTGGCTGCTCAGGCTGAGGGAGCTGTGTCCTCCAGCTCCTGGTGGCCGACTGGCCCGCTTCCCCTTGGACCTGGGGCTGGTGCCGCCTTTGCCGCTACCAGGTGCTGAGGGCAGGATGGTGGGGTAATTCATGGTGCCCAGCCCCATGGCCAGCTTGAGGCTGGCGGCGGTGGCCGCAGCCTGTACCACCTGAGCCCGCTCCTGCGGCCCTTCCACGTGGCAGTCCGCATGGTACACGCTGTGCACTGACTCGGCATCCAGCGGCCCGGGGCTGGGCGAGGGTGGTGAGGGCAGCGCTCTAGCCCGGACCAGACTGGTGTCTCCGGTGCCTTGCTCAGGGCTGGGCCGGCGTGGGCTGCTGTGGCTGAA